TCCAGTAGAAAATCACCACTGATTGTCAATTCAAGTGCATCAAGTTAACGAGTGTCAGATATAAGGAAAATCCTGACTGATTCATTACACTGTATTTCCCTTGTGGATCGGGTGTTTGGTAATTAATCACATTTGAGAACACTTTACTGCTTTTCACACGGAGACTTTCAGGGATATCCTCGGAAAATCTTCTAGGTGTTCTCCTTTCAGTCCTTCCGACCAACTTCCTGTCGCAGGTGTAGACGAATTGGTGAATGCTGTTGGAATTGACATGTAAAGCAGGGCGCTTTATTTCTGTTCATTGAATTGACGGGCATACTATGTTGTAAAGTGGAATGTGTCTGGCGGTGAGAAATGTTCTTTTCAATGCACGCTTAATTCGTTTTTCAGTCTTTGTGAATATCCCTCCCCTCCCCTGTGTACGCTAGACAGATACACAGTGGTTTCTTTTCGACTACTTCAGGCTTCGGTCTAGGTGTCTTCTTACTCCATTATTTTCATATGGACTTTCGTGGGTATCCTACATTTTCTATAGGGTTTTTTCTTCGATAACTGCGAGTTCCTGTTCAATCGAGTCTTCTGAGCATAACGCCTTAACTGTGCTAAAGAGCATTCTTCCCAGACTCTGTTTGTATCGAATTGGCCAAAACCTGTGATAATTGAAGTAGACTGACCAGCTCAATTTTCCATTTCTATGGATGATTTCAAACAAAACTGAACACGCTCACCTTGAGCACACCATCTTGTGAATATTGGGCATCAGACATTGTAAATAGTGGTGACAACTGATTGGCATCGTTCGCTTTTTCCTTCTTGTTCAGATTCGTTGATTAGGTGTTATCTAGTAATGTTAGTCTGATGAAAAAATTAAATCTGTGCAAAGCTGTTCTGTTAGTCACAGATTGTCTGTCACCTCATTTCTCTTAAGGTTCAGCCACATTTTCAAGGCATGTCTGAGTTGTGAATATCTCGGAATTAGATCAATCAACTTAGAGGACACAAGTAAATCAAAATCGCCCACCCACTTCAGCCACAAATCTTCTTTATCATTTCAAGTTCCTACTAGGTGGTCTCACTAGCCAGAATTATTTACTGTTGTCTTTACATGGTCACACCATTTCAAACAATCATCAAATCTCTTCACGTAAATTTTATTTTCAAAGTAAACTTGATATGTGAAGTAGCAGTAAGACGAGTTGTAATGCGATGAAATAATAATTCTGATTTCCATAGAACTCAACCAGTTTATAGGTAAGACCGTATTACTCTCAGAGAAATCCGATGGAGAATATCCACTGGCTATGGATTGCTGCAGCCCTTATAATCACGAAATAGACCCACCCATTTATTTATTCATAAGGAGAAAACAGTTTCGAGTTCAATGAAGAAGCATTTCTCCTCAAATATTTCATTTCCTTTACAAGGTGTATGGTCGTATTTCTGTTATGAAAATGGCTAATGAAAGCCCAGTCAAGAAATTGCTCAGTCAAGACAGACAGACATGATAGGAATACAGATAATAAACATGGTGGGGTAGACTTTAAGTGGATGAATTGCGAAATTGTAAAAGATTATTATTAATTAAATGCACCGGTTATTTTAAGTAACTTATAATAAATAATAATTCAGTCTGGCTCGACGCTTAAATGATTCCAGGAAATCAGTAATATCTACGCTCTGGATACCTACCTATAAGTGCGAGTGTATTAAATAGCTGAAGCTAAAACCACGCATAAGTGAGTGGATCAATCAAAAACTTTTGGAGTTACTCAATTCGGGTATGTAGATTACTTTAAAGGATAAATGGAATGGTGATGAATGACCTGATTTCAGATGGTTTTCACTAATTGATGAGTTTCTTATCGTGTGATCACCTTTCAGTTGCTCATTATTTTGAATGAATTCAAAAGTCTGTCTACCTAATGTCCTTAATTAGTCAGGCGTCTCGTGACCTAGTTGTTCAAAATCTTATTATAATTGCTATTGTTTCCTTGGGTTCCGTGTGAAACAAAGGGCTGGGATTCTACACGAGCAATGCCTGCATTGCGATGGATGTCAGCCGACCTTCTCGTCAGTGTGTGCCCGATCTATCCCTATTTACTTATGCCTATTTGTTGAGCGGTCGGATTTTGGGTGGTTTGTTCCCACAGTTTCCTGTTGCCGATTCATTCTCAACGGTTGGCCATTTGATCTTCAGTATGGAATCCGTTGAAGGGGTCAGCTGTTAATAAAAGTCTATAGGCTGTTGAAAGTACTTCGGTGACACAGCGGCAGACTGCTCGCCAACCACTCCGGTGGTTCAAGGTTCAATCCCCGGTTAACTCACTTCCAAACCTCTCTAAGCCAACAAGACTGATAAAGTGAGAATGTTGGGCATGAGGCCATCCCGTAAAAATAAACGCCATTCCTATCAAAACTTCAAGTCCCTAGTTTGAAGCCCTATCTTCCACTGGGAACGTGAAGGAATACAAAAACTTGTTGGAAATGCTTTTCGTATGCGACGAACCAGTTTATGACCCATATAGAAGCACTGATTGACTTCACATTGGTGAAGGTGTATATTGCATTTCCGATTCTGGCTATCTGGTTTTGACATCTTCATCCCTTCCGATTGCCTGTGGTTGAACAATTCTTCCTAGATAAGTGAAGGAAGTGACATCTTTCAAATGTATTCTGTTGAGGGTGACCGATGCTGGCAGTTGTTGTTGTGGTCAGTGCGTGGCTATTTCCATCACCTCCGCCTTTTCTGTGTTCAGTCGAAGTTCAACCTTCGCTGCTTCTTCAACTAGCCTGCATGTCTTCGTTTTTGTGTTTGATATTAAATATAAATCATCACCCATGAGCGAAATGCAGACCTTTTAGAGTATTTTATCAGTCGAGAGTATTCCTGTCTTCTCACTCCCAATGAACAGTCTGACGCATAATCCACAAGTCCACCACAATTGGGAATATTTTCAGCGATAGAAGGCAGTTGCGTTGTCTCACTACTTTTTTCACTCACTGTTCATAGGTTTACCTCCTTTAAAGCGTAGATTATTTGGTATGCTTTCAGGAAGTTATAGATGAACTCTTCTTTCTCCTCTCCATCGGAAGAATAAAAAGTAGCAGTAAATAAGACACTGACCAAATAATATGAATCCACTGTACTCTGCTCCGTATGCTTTTAAATTTTCTTCAAACTATACAGCAACCCTATGAGGAGAATATCGAATGGGTTGTAGTCATATCCAATTAGGTGTAAGCTGAGTGTCACTTCTACTGAACACTTATCACGCATCAGCCGAAAGCCTGAAAATATGATTACACTGTTCGACTGTAGTGGAATGTGACTGTTTCTTAGTAGTCGTTCAACTGCCTTCTGACCAACAACTGTCAAATAAAAATGCTCTACCACAATGGTGAATCAGTCAGCGTTTCTGTCGTTGGCTCCTTTCATCAGTAGAATTCTTCTTTCATCTATCCACTCGCTCTTCACTTGTCAAATATGAACAGGTTTAATCGACTCTTTTATCAAATGAACACAGTTGATATTTCAGGTCTCAGTATTACTCTATGCATTTATGTCTAGTGTGATAGGAAGAAGACTAATAAATAAACAACTCGGAAACGGATTCGATTGGATTTCAAGACTGATCACGTCCTGATGTCAGTTAAAGAGCTACTAAACCCAGAGAGCTTTAAACAGCCTTTTGGTCTATACCTGAGACTCCTCACAGTACACACAGTACACGCAGTACCCATGACCCCCACTCCATTAGTGTCTCACTCACTAGTGGATAAGATCGTCTGAAGTTCTGGTGGGAAGTTGTGCCGACTGATGTTGACTAAGTTAGGTGAGGTGTGAGGACAAATACTCACCGATGACATTATGACCTATTAGGTGACCCACCACTTGAAATGACATTAAGTTGTTGGAGACAATCATTGGGAAGCATGAAGGTTTCGATGGAAGTGTCTCTGATTGCAGAACTAAGTGATGTCGTTTTGAATATCAATGACTTGCAGATTATCCTTGCTGATGAGTGACAGAAAGCATGAAATTTCGGTTCAAAATCTCCTACTGATTACCCCCAAATATAGATATAACTATATATAACCTATCTGATGGCTTCATCTCTTCAATAAAGCAAAATGTTGATTGTTAATTATGCTGAGTGGCCAAGTGAGGCTGAAATATACCTCCTGATTTCGGAGTTTCACTGATCAAAAATTATTCATGTACATTAAGACAGCGTCATTCTAAATAAACAAACAGTGGTCAAGCAGTCACATGAATGAATGCCAAAATGTATACAATCTTCAAATCACTGATTCAAAAGACTGGCAAGAAGTCTCACGTATAACAAAAGAAACCAATCCAGTAATTAAAGCTTCTGTTTTTCCCCTGTAGCATTGATTGGGGGATAACCTAAGTCGTTTATACTCAGACTTCCATTATTTATCAGTTCTTCAGTAATATAATATTTATGAGATTGTTTTACGCTTCAGGATATGGTGACACTGCGTATACACAGAATCAATTTTATCCTCCGGATAATTATGAGTGTCGTTAGTCGGATCAGTCAGTGTACAGAGTGCTGGTGTTAATGAAACAGTAAGCAGTGCGGCTTCTCATTCCTTCATGTGTTGGTTACCAGTATCACTCCACCATCCTTGGAATATAGTGACTACGATTTAAAGACAGACTCTGATACTCTGCAATTCTTTATTCTAATTTAAGAAGGATGGGGAAGCCAGATGTATGTGATACTGAGTGAAATTGTGTTCCCTTCTTCGAGAGTTCAACCTGTACTTAACTAATCAGCACTCCTATAATTAATCCGTTTGACAGTGTTCTTCACTGTGCTTGTGTATTATAACTGTAATCCAGATAAAAGGTGACTGAGGTTTGTTTGGGATGCAGCTGGTCAGTCGAAGCTGATTAGGAAGTTGAAATATGAGATAGACGACAGTAGGTGTTCCAGGATGGATAACCGTCGGTTTATTTTGTTTTCTCATAGGTATAATTTATGACAATGAACTGGGAATATCTGGAGAAGCTTTGATGAGACGATTCGATGAGTTGAGTGCCAAAATGGAATATTATGCTGATTATCCGATCAGAAATTTTTCTCTGCCAAGCCCACCTGCATTAAACATAACTGTAAATGAATTTACAGTTGGTCAAGGTTAGTCTCACAAATTTTTGCCATAATACTCACATTACTGATAAATAAATTAAAATGATCGTCATAGTTATTTTCAATTACATAGGGTAATTTTTGTTCCGGTGACTTCTGGAATATAACATTTGTCTAAGATAGACCATTTCACCTCTGTTCAATGTTTCACCATACTTTTGCCCATCTTTGTTATCAGAGACGCGTTTCAAGAAAATGTTGAGTGTATCCCACACAATCCTAGAAACATTCCCAGTGTCGTTTGATCAGAGAGAGCTCCAATCTACAGTCGATATTTCCATCTTGCTGTGTGGGTGGTTTGAACAGCGTCAAGTCGGGTCCGGTACACCGTTGATGCTGTTGGCCTCAGCTGAGTCACCTAGTGTTAAGATCATTTCAACGAGGCAAGCATGTGAGTGGCGGTGGGCATTGACAGTATTGCTGGAGCAGATGTCAACCAAAACCAAGCCCACGACTTCAGATTAATACATTCCTATCTGCATCGCACATAAACAGTCACTAGACTCTCACTGGAACGTATTTCTCTTCTTGAGCAAATCTAGACGCCAAGTCATGTGAAAGAATGTTCCCATTTCGTTCTGTCCCATTTAAATTTCATTCAAATAGTTTCTTACTTGTTGCAACTCAGATAATAAATAGTTTCATGGGAAGATGCATTCTGGAGGAATCATTCAAGTTTTCCTTTTTTTGCTATTGTTGAATTGATATTCAGGGAGGGGTATTTTGTTTTCAAGCTGGGGTGCTACTGAGACAAAATTAACCACTCAGTCGTCTCCTCTAGGAAAAGTTAAAATTCATCATTCATTTATCGTTTAAGTTCAGTTTGCAAAATAAAATTGTACAAATCAGTGGATGAAAGCGTGGAAGCGAAAATAATTCAAATCACAACTTGTGATTTCCATTGGTTCTCTAACTGTTGTCAGCTTATGGTGAAATCCTCCATCCAATCAAGCTGAACCCCTACAAAATCAATACTTGAAAATTAATCTGATGCTTTCTAGCGACTTCCCCTATTCAGGCAGTCTCCTGAGTTTCTAGTGGGAAGCCGTGGCCATTAGGGTACATCAGGTTGAAGATGAGGCAGTGACTCACTCATCGAAGGAGACATTGCGAAATGGTCGCACTATGTTGTGAATTGGTAGAAGTTACAATTCAAAGGATAGCCACTGGATCGGGTCCCAGTGTCTTAATAGTCTGCGAGTTCGCCTTGTAACAAGAAGGTTCTGTGTTCGAACCCCGTTGGTTGCGTACTGCTAAAGAGTCCCAGACTAGGACGGACAAAACAGGTGTTCAGTACTCCTAGGTTTTCCAGTGGTTCTATAACTGATGTCGTCTCATTCTTAAATCCTCCATCCAATCAAACTTGTGATACCATAAATGACAATGAGGAAATGTGGCTAGCAAGCGCTGATGCAAGTGCTGTTCAGCGAATTATCTCAGTCAAGCAGTAGTATTTGGGATGAAATTTTGATGAAGCAACATTGATCAAAAGTAGATAATTTCCCGATTTGATTGACAGACAGATGTATTCTATCCGTAGTAGTTATCAACGCAGAGCATTCCTGTCAATTCAGCCTTGTTCTCTTCAGGAAACAAACTCACTCAATTTACACTCGCTGAAATAAACATACATCCAGTAAATTATTGAGAGAATTTCAATATATATGTATATATATATACCTATGATATATGTTTCCTCATTTGAATATGGAGGGCTGAGTGCTGATTGCTTCTGTTTGATTACATTCTCTTCTCTTTGCTTCAGTCTGCAACTTAATCGAGAGGAATGTGCATGTGATCATCAGCCTGACCACCTGCTCGGTGGCACAGTTAATCGAATCACAAACTTCACCACACAGAATAACACATGTGGCTATCCCCAGACCAGCATGCTCTAAAGATTCCATCGATTCGAGTGCACTGTCAGCCTCAACAACAATATGGATTCAACCAACACCTGAGCATACAAGCAGAGCGATATACGAATTAAGCGAAACTGAACGTGCTGCTTTAGCTTTACTTCTAAGTGATTCACCTACTTGTAAGTAGTATAACAAATCAAATAAGTTTAATAATCATGTATTATTTATTCCAGTATTGGTATTAATCATCTTTGTGACAAATTGTTCCAATGGTTATCTGAGAAATACAGCTACACATTGTCTGTACTCTAGATGTGAATAGTAAACTCCTCGCCGAGGAGAAATTTATTTATCTTCGTGAACACAGCTGGCTCAGTTCATGTATCACATAGTAGAATGTATTGACCGATTCATCGTCTTTAATGCACTGACCATTGATGACACCTTAAACAGATATAGAAGATCTAACTAGAGATTTCAAACTTGTATTACGTTTACAGATTACAAAATATCTACCCAGCTATAAAACAGAGTAAAAAAATTAACCAGCATTCCTTTCTATCCTATTCTACCTAAATCAGGCTATTCCACAGAAAGTAAACATGTGAAGATATGATAGTGTGAATATTATGAATTAAAAGTCAATCTGAGAGAAGAATATTCTTTTCAATAATTTCTCTTCAGGTTCTTACAATTATAAAATATAATATTTGTGGTCGTTACAATAAAGGCCAGTTATGCGGCGGATACATTTTTAACGTAGAATAACAGATTAGTTATGGGGTGTCAAAATAAATAGTCATATTTTGATGTGGTTTTGTTCTCTGAGCTGGATGGTTAGTTTGCGAAGCTTTCATCACCTTACTGGGTGACATCTTCAGCGCATACTTCAATTTGTCAATCAAAATCACCCACCTGAGCTACAAATCTTCTCTATCATATCTAAATAGTCATATTTGTGTGACAAACGTGCTAGACTGAAATCGATTAGAAATATTGTAAAACGGGAGACAATGGTGGTGATTAATCAATCATAATAGAATTTTCAAGTATTGGTTTTTTGTAGGGATTTTGTTTGATTGCATGGAGGATTTAATCATGAGCTGACATCAGTTAGAGAACCACTGGAAAACCTGGGAGTACTGGACAGCCGTTTCGTCCTAGTTTGGGACTCCTCAGCAGTACGCACCCACCGGGATTCGAACCCAGGACCTTCTGGTTACAAGGCGAGCTCGTAGACCATTGAGCCACTGGGACCCGATCCAATGGTCCTTGAATTCTAACTTCTGCCAGTTCTCGACATAGCGCGACCACTTCGCAATGTCTTCTTCGATGAGTTACTGCCTCATCTTCGACCTGCTGTACCCTACTGGTCACGGCTTCCCACTAGAACCCCAGGTTAACTGCCTGAATAGGGCCAGTCACTAGTGAGCATCAGATGAATTTTCAAGTATTGGTTTTTTGTAGGGATTTTGTTTGATTGCATGGAGGATTTAATCATGAGCTGACATCAGTTAGAGAACCACTGGAAAACCTGGGAGTACTGGACAGCCGTTTCGTCCTAGTTTGGGACTCCTCAGCAGTACGCACCCACCGGGATTCGAACCCAGGACCTTCTGGTTACAAGGCGAGCTCGTAATAGAATTGTAGAATGTGGGGTAGGAAAATTGACAAATCAGATCAAGGTTATAAATGGTGTCAGGTGAGTGGCTAGTACAAAGTGGTCTGAGTTAAACAGGAGATAGTAAGACTGCAATGAGAGGATCATAGTGAGATAACGAATATGTTATAATATATGCCTCCACCTGTTTCATT